ATTTGACCGTTAATATTGGTAATTTGCTAAGATCTGGGTCAAAGGAATGGAAAGGCAGAGATATAGTAGTATAAGATTGAAACCTGTTTTGACTTCATCAATGTGAACACATCCAAAAGGGTCTGCGAGGTTCCTTCATCTGTAATTGCTGCTGCATACGTAAGAGGAAAGGCCCCACACACCTTGATGTGTCTGCACATCTCATTCAGACAAGTAGCATGGTTTCATCCAGGCACAAACAGGAACACCTAATCACGTGGTGCTCTTTTACAGAGATGAGCTTCTCTACTGGAAATCAGGTGGTGAGCAGCTTTCCCTGGGAATCAGGGACACTGAGGGCAAGATGGCATGCAAAGGCTGAGACAAGTTTATCTGCAGAGGAAGCCAGACAGCAGCTGTGGGTAAGGAACTGGTGATGGTTTTGTAGATCTTTAGATAGTGCCTGGGAATCATTCGCAAGCCCTGAGCTGCAGCATAGAACTGAGAGTGTGCTGATGCAGGATCCAGGGGCCCTACCCACCCCCCACCCATTCCCATCCTCGTGAACTGATGTCACCTTAGAAATATCACTTTCTCTTTCTCTGTGTAACAGTTCAGCTGCAAAAGTGAACTTATAGGAATATGGATTATGATGCTAGGAGAGGTGCTCCTTGCACCAAAATATTTCTTCTTGCCTACTCTAGTTTCCTCCCATCATGTTGCTTGAAATAGCTTTTTTATTTGGCCTCTTATATCTCAAAGCCTTTTAATATTCAAGAGTCCCTTATAAAATGTCAATTCTAGATCTCAGTTTCCTCATCTGTAAAAAGAAGAGACTGGACTGGAGAAGCACTGAGATTCTGTCTAGCTCTCAGGGCGAGAAAGAGTCAAAGATTGTAGAGTCAGCTGGTGGCCTCTTGAGCCATTGTTGGCCAATCCTGGAACCAAGAGAAGGAAGACTCCATGACAAGCAGTTAAGAGCAAATTCTACTAGGGGAAGAATCCAGAATGGGAGTGGCTCCCAGCCTGCTGCAAGGGTTGATGGGAAGCTTCCCCAGGTTATCAACTCCCTCTTGTCCTCTGACTTGGTGCAGGCGGGTTCTAGCCTCTGCTGTTGGATAAACAAAGCACCCTGCTGTCAGGAGCCCACGCGGCCTTTGATCGAACACTTGGGCTCTTCCACATTTCCTTGGATAGATCTGGGCTGCTTCCAAACTAAGTTATCCCAACCCAAAGACACAAGGGGAAGTATAGGACTTGGAGTCAGCAGACCTGAGTTCTCGCCCCAACCTGCTGAATGATCTTAGCTAAGTCATTTTATGGGCCCTAAGCTGGCCCTAACCTGGCCCTTAATTTCAGTGTCAGTCACCATTTTAAGATCTACCATGGCCTCACAGTTTTGAGGTAGTGAAAGAGGTGCCTCACAGGCAACTACTGTTCTGGGTTGGCCAAAGGAACGTCACCTCCAAATTAGACTCTGGTGATGGTCCAGGCCACAGTGGGCCCTAAAGATGAACTCTACCCCTAGAACCCCAGACAGTTTCTAGCCCAGGTTCAGAGGTTTCTTCTTTTCTGTCCCACTAGGGCAGTGGTTCTCAACCTTGGCTGCACATTAGAATCACCTGGGAATCTGTTTAAAATCCTGATTTCTGGGCCTCATCCTCCGGAAATTCTGTTTCTTTGTTACTAATGTTGTGGCCCCACCCCATTACAAAGAAACAGAATTTCCAGAGGATGAGGCCCAGAAATCAAGATTTTAAAAAGATTCCCAGGTGATTCTAATGTGCAGCCAAGGTTGAGAATCACTGCACTAGGGGATGGAAGAAGGCAGAAACACATTTGACCTTAACTTTGCTCCTTCTTCAATTCAAAACATGTGTGCTGATGCCCAGCTGGTGTGGCTCAGTTGGTTGAGCATCATCCCATGCACTGAAAGGTCACCCATTTGATTCCCAGTCAGGGTGCATGCCTGGCTTTCAGGGTTGATCCTCAGTAGGGGGCATGCAGGAGGTAACCCATCAATGTTTCTCATCGATGTTTCTATATCTCTCTCCCTCTCCCTTCCTCTCTCTGAAATCAATAAAAACATATTTTAAAACATATTTGTGCTGAATGTCTTGCTATTATCTAATCCAACCCACCCATTTTACCCATGAGAATCCTGAGGCTAGCGAAGAGAAGTGGCTTGACTGAGTCAGTGCAGAGGGATCCAAGTCACTTCAAGGCCTTGAACCAAGGTTCTCCCGGCAGGCTTCCTCCCTTCATTTGGCTCAAATCAGAGAGCTCTGGCAATAACCTTGGAACTGAAATGAGCAGGGATGGGACTCCAATGCCATTCAAAGCCAATTCCAAGTAAATCTTCCTTCTCCAAACTACAACCACCCCTCCCTCAGAAGGTCAAAAAATTCCAAGGAAAACCTTGGGAATTGAATCTACCTTATGTAGAGTTGAGGAGTCAATTGAATCCTAATCTTCTCTGCTCTCTAAAATCTTGGTTCCTCCATTTGGGTGATGACCTTGAGCTTTACCAGACCTATTCTCCTAGCCTGAAATGGAACCACTTCTTTATTCCTTTCTTAGCATTTCCTGAGCACCTACTAAACGCCAACCTCTGTGTTAAGTTTGCTGAATCAGAGATGCCTAAAATCACATGCCTGTCCTTGGGTAATTCAGCCAACCAGGAAGGATAGAGATGATTAATAATATTCATGATGCCATGGGGAGAGCTCCCTCGACCTTAAAATAGACCTGCTCTTCTAGGGCAAGTTCTTGCTAGACTAGATCTCAGGGATGGAAGCAAGAGGAGACCATGTTCCTCTGGGGGCTGCTACCCACCCACCAGGAGCATTCTTCCCAGGAAGACAGACACCTGATTTTTCTACCGCTAGCATGGTACAGCTAGTAGATACTCGTTCACACTGGGTGGTGGGAGTGGCACATTAATAAATGGCATCACAAATATTTATCATCAAGCATCTACCATATATGAAGTGGGAAAATAAAGAAAAATTTATCTTCAGTGTGGTGTCAATTTCTGCCATCACAAAGCTAAAAATCTGGTTATATGTCATAAAAACTGGAGAAATGTGAAAAGAGCATGGGTTTAAGAGTTTGGACCCCTGGGTCTTGATCCATTTTTTAGCAGAACATCATCCTTCTTTGCTTCAGTTCGTTCATCTCTACGTTTGGGCAGGACCAGAGTATGCCCTGGAATTGCAAGAGTGGTGCCGCCTGATAAATGTTTACTTGGTTTGTTTTTCCCTTAGAGTTTGGGTTTTCTATTCTTTGTGGTGATTTAAGGTCTGAGCTAGGTTTGTGGGAAGGAAGAGAAGTGAAGCCAGGATCAGGTGGGAAGCTGGGTAATAAAAGCCAGAGGAGAATGATGTGCTACAGGAGGGAGTAGCCTGGGAGAGGGATGAAGAGGAGATGCAGGAGAGGAAGCTGTCAGAAGGGCTACTCTCCATGGAGGTTAGAAACAAGGACCTTTGCTGATGCCACTGAACAGCCCTAGAGAGGGGAAGGAACCAGTGCCAACCTGCAGGCCCACCTAGCCATTCAAACCACCAAAATAAAATGGTGGTGAGGCATTAAGGCTGCTCAAATTGGGTCCCATAAGAGCTGGTGGTGAGGGTTTGGTCCAAGGCACATTGTGGCCTGTGAACACGGATGAGTCAGCAGGAGCAGGAAGGGCCCCAGCTAAGAGTAAAGCAGATCCAGACATGGCCATGTTGCAGAAAAGGCTGGTACCTACAGTACGGAGCACCCTGGCCCCAGCGCCCCCTGGCCTCCTGGAGCCCTGAGTAGTTCCCCACATGTCAACATGGCTCCTCGCCCCAGCAGTCCACACACACTTCTAGCTCCGTCATGCATCACTTGCCGGCAGATGCTGGGGCTACTGATGCACACCACACAGAGGAAAGAGTTCTGCTTATTAAATTACTAAATCCTGTTAGAAATGAGGGCAACTTGCTCCAATTAGAATTTTTATGTTCCTCGTGATCCTTGGTGACTCCCATGAGGTTCTTTATTCTCCACTGCCGTGCCAGGAATGGATTCCACAGCCAGTTCTCTCTTTCACAAGCAGAACCATTAAAAGCAACTCTGTCCCTCGGAGGAAATCATGCTTTCTTAGTACTACAGAGCCTTTCGAATTTGTTTAAAATCTACTGTTCTGCTGATGGTAGGGCAGGGAGAGGGATGTTTTCTTTAGGGAGGAGTATGTGTGTGTGTGTGTGTGTGTGTGTGTGTGTGTGTGTGTGTGTGGAGTGGGTGCTCTTTGAAACTGTAATAGTTGAGAGGGTAATACTATTGTTTATTTTACACTGTCCTACTCCTCCCTCTTTCCCCCTCAACACACAACAAACTGTACAAATGAACAAGAGAAGTTGATGCATAGACTCACGCTGCCACCCTGCAGCAGTCTCTCCTGCTGCAGAAAGCACTCCTGCTCCAGGCAGTCGGAGCTGCATTGTTGGGCATGATCGCTTGGGCTGGGGAGGCTGTGGAAACTGTCTCGCCCGCATGTAAAGAACCATCGGGTTACTTAAAGGAGCAACACGACTCTCACCTTGCAAGGAGGAAAGCTGACTTGGATGAGCAAGCCCGACAGTCCTCGGTGCTCTCTGGCACATGCATTTCATCCGACTGTGCTTAGCTTTGCTTTTGTCAGACCACTCTTTCCCCTCTGGTTATCAGGAGCAAATTAGTTTTCAGCTTTGTTTTGTGTTTCTTTTTTCATTTAACACATCTCTTCTTACGCTGGTGATATCATCCCTGGAAGACTGAGACGTAAGAGGAGTGAATCATGTATCACCTTCACATCTCTTCTAGAATTACATCAGCAGAGCCCTAGGGTGCAGTGAGGATAAAAGCCAAAAGTAGAGGGGAGGGAGGAGGAAAGAGGAGAGCACCAGGAGGGGGGAGGAAGGGAGCCGGTTCTTTTGCAGTCAGCTCCTTTTCTTCTTCCTCCTTCCTCAACCCCTATACCCCCTTCCTTATTTATAAATCAGACAAGAGGAAAAACCAGACAGTTGCCTTATATTTATTGATGGTGTTGGTTTAAATGTCATTTGTCTGAACTTTTGACCAATCACCATACCCCCATCGGTCACAGATGAAAGCCAACCTTAGCATTCTCACTGGACACATAAATCGGTTAAGAATGAAGACATGCAGACCCTGCCCCACCTCCAAGTATTATCCATATGATCCCCACCCTCTTATATGATCCCCACCCTCTTTAACGTTCTCATCAATTTTAAACAGCAAAGGAACTTGGCAACGTGTGGAGATCATTGGAAATGTGAAATCTAGTCATGCAAGAGAGTGAAGGCCCACACAGCTGTCTGCTGGTCAGGTGAGAACAGAGTGGAGGGCACACGATGCGGGTGCCTAGGTAGGGTGGGATTTGACTTTCCTGACCTCTCTCTAGCTGAGGGTTTTAAAATGTCATTCAATGATGCGTATCTGAGGTATTCAAGGAGAGGGACAGGGACTCTCAACCAAACCAAAACATGGTGATAGGTTCGAAGGCCTGGACCTTGTCTTAATGCCCATAAGAAATGACTCTGGCCCTAGCCGGTTTGGCTCGGTGGACAGAGTGTCGGCCTGCGGACTCAAGGGTCCCAGGTTCGATTCCAGTCAAGGGCATGTACCTTGGTTGCGGGCACATCCCCAGTAGGGAGCGTGCAGGAGGCAGCTGATAGATGTTTCTCTCTCATCAGTGTTTCTAACTCTCTATCCCTCTCCTTTCCTCTCTGTAAAAAAATCAATAAAATATATTTTTTAAAAAAAGAAATGACTCTGAATACTTTACTATTATTTCCCACCCACCCTTTGTTTTGCTTTGCTTTTCTAAAGATAGTCTTATGCCTGAACCACTCCCATTAATTAGAAAGAAAAATCTTTCATCCTCCATTCCTCTATGGCTCCAGTGAATCCTAGACTCCTTAAAATCTCTGGGTCTAGTTGCTCACAACATGTTTTTGATGAAAATAAAGCAACGGGGCCTCAGGACACCAGGGAAAGCCAGGAGTGCAATCCATTTCTGCAATACCAAAGGGGCCCAAAGGGGCAAAGGGAAAAAACAATTTGCAGAAGGCACAGCTTTGGCAGCATCTTATTACAACTTCTAGCTGACCGGGGTGTAGCCAAATTAGAGACATCTGTTTGGAATTTACAACAGAAACAAACAGAAAGCATGAAAGCCCTAAGACATACACACACACCAAACTCTAACAGCTCTTCACTGCCTTGACCTCCACACCATTCCTTGCTTTTCCTCCCAGGGGAAAAAAAAAAAGGTTCTCCCACTTCTCAGAAATCTCCTTCTTTGGGTCTCTAGTTCATCTTTAAAACTCCCTGAGCTGCTTGTAAAGGAAAAGATTACATCGTATTCTTACACTTGATCGTGAGCACGAACCTCGTAAAACCTCACAAGATGTCGAAAGTCACTCCTCCCTAAATAACCTCGCAGGTCTGAGTGAGGAACAGAACTCAGAGACCAGAGGAAACCCACACTCACAGAAGTGAATTAATGAAGAAGATGGAATATACTTGAGAAGGCTGTCCCCAGCCACAGTACCCAGAGTGGCAAAGGGCCAGAGGGGCCCCAGTCTTCCTATAAAGTGGGTTTCCCTCCCCTATTCACCTTCAAGCAAGGCAGAGGCCAAACACTGTCTGACCACACCATCCTGTTGATGGACACACCCTCTCCTCCCCCCTCCTCCCAAGCATTCTCCGCAGCAGTTCCAGAAGCTCACCTGTTCTGTTCAATTTTCCTCTTTATTCTCTTCCCACTGGCGGGCAAACAGAACCAGAGCAGTGCTACTCTTCAAAAATAACAAAATGTTTTATACACATTTCTGTATATACAACTGAACAACATTTTACATGTCCCTTTTGCACAGCAAAAGATATAAACATCCAGCTCTGAGAACAGTTATGTACAAAAAAAGATGTCAAAAATACTTCACAACAGTGCAAAAATATTTTACACAGTATCATGGAGTGAGATCTTTTGAGCAGGATGAAGGTGTGTGTGTTTCTAAAGGAAAACTCCTTTTTTAGATATTAGATGTCTTTAACTGTAAACAAAATGCAACTTTCTTTCCTTTTCCTCTCTTCCCCCCTCCCCCTCCCCAAACAAATATTTGAGGAATTTGGCAGAATTTCAAGGGTCTTAGTCTGAGGTAAACAACCCAAGCTCTTGCACCAAAAAACTGGAGGCAAAGAGGCGGCACAAAAACAGCCTCAAACATTGTGAGAGTAAATTCCTTTTTCTTTTCAACGATATGCCAATGACAATGCTAGGCTGCTCCCGGGTGAGGGGTGGGGAGGAAGTTAACCCCTCCTCCAGGGGCCCCAACTGCCCCACAAACAGGAAGCTGGCCGGCGGGCCCCTGACGCCTGCAGGACTTTTGCTAACTTCAGCGGGCATTTCCCTCACCCCGGACCCCAAGGGGCTGCCTCTCTCCTTCCTGGTAGGGTTTCCCCACCCCATCCCCACACATCCAGCCACATCTCCGTAGGCAACCTGAGCTCCACTTAAAACAGAGCCAAATGTGTTCAGGGAGAGAAGCAGGAACTCTGGGCCTTAAGTGTCCCATTTTCCCTTTCCTGGGCGCAAGCGGTGTCAGGGCTAGGTCAGGGAGCTGTCGAGGAGGCTGTTGGGGAGTCACGGTGGGGCGGCAGGGCGCGCGCAGAAGGTTTCGGGGAGCTCAGCCCGAGCGCGGCTCGTCGGGGCTGGCGCGGTCCGTAGGGCCAGACTGGTCCCCGGCGGTGGCAGAGGTGGCATCTGGGCCGCCGCCTTCTATGGAGCTCTCGCTGCCGGTGCTCTCACCAGACAGCAGGCGCGTCACCCGCAAGTCGGCCTGCAGGCTTCGCACGTCGTTGCCGAAGCTGAGCTCGCCCAGGTCGTTAATAAGCTGCGACAGCTCGGCCTTCACGTCGGAGGGGCTACCCAGCAGCAAAGGCGGTGGCCCCGCCCCGGGTCCCAACGAGACCCCACTACCCCCCAGCGCCTCCTCCCGGCCACTCTCCAACGTGTCCAGCAAGTCCCCACATTCGAAGTGCATGGCGGCCACCACCAGCGCCCGCTGCGCCTCGGCCTCTTCCTCTGCCGGATCCTTCTCCCTGGCACGATCCTCTTCCTCCTCCTCCTCCTCCTCCTCCAGGTAGCTCTCGGTGTGCTCCTCTTCCTCTTCTTCCTGCAGCTCCTCCTCCTGCTGTTCACCGACCAGGTCCTCAGTGATCGAGCCGAGTTTGGGCGCGCTGCGGCTGCGCTCCACCGGCGGCTTGTAGCAGCAAGGTCCGTGCAGGAGCAGCTTGCGCAGCGGCACCAGCGGGATGGTGTGCGCGCCCACCAGCTCCTGCTGCTGGTGACGCGCGTCGTCCCGCCGCTTGAGCCGTTTAAATTCCGCCAGTGCGTTGGCCGACGTTTGGTAGAGCAGCAGGGCCATGGCCTGCGCCTTCTCGGGCTTGGACACCAGCACCGCGTGACAGCGCAGCATTACCGCTTTGTGCTTGAGCTCGTGCCGGTACACCCAGGCGAAGACCTTGGGCAGCCGCGCGTCCGCCACGCAGTAGGTAACGCGGTGCAGCAGGTAGAGGTGGCCCGGGCGGCGCAACGCGCGCTCTTCGGCGTGCACCATGCGGATACCCTGCGCACTCACAGTCAGCTTCATCTTGGTGCCCTGACGGCCCGCCTCGCTCTTGCTCCAGATCTTGCCCACCGCGAGGTCGGTGCAGCCGTCGCCGCGCGCCTGGATGGTGGTGGCATTGCCCAGGTAGAGCACGGTGTAAGTGGGGTCCTCGCTGGTGATGTGCAGCTTCTTGCGCTTGGAGCGGAACATGCTGCCCACCCGGCTGAGCGCGCCTTCGGGGCACGCCCGCGCCAACGAGCTGAGAGCCGAGTAGTGCAGGCTCACCGCGTAGCCCTTGGGCTTGGACGCCTGCCTTGGCGGCGCCTCGGCTAGCAGCTCGAACTTGTGTTTCTTCCACGGCAGCATCTCCGGAGGGCGCCCCCGCGCAGCTGGGCGGCGGCGGCCGAGCGCTGAGTGCGAGCCCAGCTGAGCCACCCGCCTAGGCCAGGCTCGGCCCCGGGCAAGACCGAAAATTAAAACTCTGCTGGGAGTGGTCCAGTGGTAGGGGTTGGGGGCGGGATAAGGGTGTAGTGCTAGAGAACCCTGCAGGGATCAGGGGCAGAATTTTTTTTTAAAGGAAGAAAATATTCAGTTGCGAGTGTGGAAAAACGCACACAGGATTTACCCTAGCTTGGGCAAAGACGGAGGCAGTCTTAGGCAAGCAAAGTGCGAAAAAGACCGAAAGAGAGTAAAACGGAAAATATGAGAGAGAGAGAGAGAGAGAGAGAGAGAGAGAGAGAGAGAGAGAGAGAGAGAGAGAGAGAGAGATGCGCGCCTGCAAATAGAGGGACCCCAAGCAAAAGCAGCCGAGATGGTGCGAGAATAAAGCAGGAACTCCTCGGCGAAGGTGGAAAGGGCCCCCTCTCACACACAGTTCCCAAGGCTGGGGCCAGACACCTCGGAAACTCAGCAGCGAGTAAGGCCAGGGGCCAGTGCTCCCCACCCCCACGGGGTGCTGGAGGCAGGCTGCCGCTCCGCGGGGCTGGTCCCAGAATCAGTTCCGTGCCCCAACGGCGGTCAGATGGAGGGTCCGGCTGGCCGCGGCGGGCCCGGCGCAGCAGTCCGGTCTTGGCTCACTGCATCTTGGCTCCAACCGGGCGCCGGGGGTTCAGGCTCGGCCGGCTCACCGTCCGGGCTGGCTCGGCCGGGGCAGCGCGGGGCTCCACAGGCGGGGCGCGCGCATGGTCGGCTCCGGGGACGGTCGCTACCTCATTTCTTCCCTCCGGGGGTGTCCAACTCCGCTCCCGGTGTCCCCTCTCGATCTGCTACCCGCCTCTGCAGCGCGACCCCTCGGGTTCTGGGAGCGCTGGCCGGCTCGCCAGCCTCACATCCTTGCCGTCCGAGAGGAAGACCTCGGGTAAATATAGGCCGGCGCAAACCATTTGCAGAGCGGGGACAGGGGAGGCGCAGGGAAGACTATCCGTTTCGGTCTCCGACGCCCTGCGGGTTCCCAGTCTCTTAAAGGGACCTGGTTGCAGTCACTGGTCGATGGAGTGGGGAGACCAGTCTAATCCAGCAATTACACCCCAAATTTACCATCATCTCTTTTATCGACAGGTAGCGCCAAGACCGGGGTTACCCCTCAGGAAAAAAACTCCGGATTTCTGACGCTCCACCCCCAGGATGAATTGCAACTCACTGAATAAATGTCTCCATCGAAACTTGAGGAGGTGGTAGAAGGTGGGATTTTATACTATAACCTACTATGCAGAAAGATTGGGGGAAATAGTGGTTCTTTCATTACATGGCAGCTGAGAATGACTGGGTGCTGTTTAATATTTTTTAAATATATTTTATTGATTTTTTTTTACAGAGAGGAAGGGAGAGGGATAGAGAGCTAAAAACATAAATGAGAGAGAAACATCGATCAGCTGCCTCCTGCACTCCCCCCACTGGGGATGTGCCGGCAACCAAGGTACATGCCCTTGACTGGAATCAGTCCGCAGGCTGACACTCTACCCACTGAGCAAAACCAGTCAGGGCTGTTTAATTTTTTTTTTTTTTTCAGAATTTTATTCTACTAAAGAAAATAGAGAGGGGCAAAGAAAACACCAAGACTCATTTTTCACTATCTTGGAGCCTTTCTCCACAGGTAATAGTGAGATGATTGGAGTGAACAATATACTATGTAAATATATAGTCTATAAATAAGGTGCTACCTGCTCCTAATCCCCAGCAGCGCCCCCTGCTGCTGTCCTGTTTCAGAGTATCTGTTTTCTGAGATATACACAGTTTCCAAGAAATGCTTACCTGTGATCAGAACTCAGTTTACTTTGACAAGCCAGTCATTCTATTTTATTACATCATTGACACAGTTTGGATGAGAATTCCCAGTAAAAATTCAAATGACGTTTTTATTTGAGTGTCGAATAATGCCAGGCCACCCTCCACTGGGAATGATAATCACATGAATCATGCTTTTCTTCTGTGCCAACTAGACAATGCAACTTTAATCTTCTGACCAGCTTGACCTTTGGCTAGTAACTCATTTCTGGGCCTTTGAAACAACCTGCTTGCCTCTATGGTCTTCTCAAGACAAAACAAAAAAAACTTCTGGCTGGAATGTGTGCTATATGCCCAGATGATCCTGCATCAAACTTCCAAATTCGTCCTAGAGGAGGACAGTGCGATCTCCACTCCATAGGCCCAGTCCACCAGGGGATTGTGGATGTCTCTGGCTTCTGTGCCAGATTTCAGAACCACATAGCCCTCCTGGAGAGTCCTGGCCTTCTACCTTTGCTAACGTCTAACCTTTTTTTAAACTCTAATTCAGTTTTCTCAGAGTCACTGGTGTTGAGTTTCAATTTAACTAACTGCTGAGTACCTTTTGGTGCCAGTCCCTGACCTAGTCCCTTGCAGACTCAATTCCTGTCTCCAAGAAGCTCCCAGTCCAATGAAGGATGTGAAGTCCACTCAACTCTGGGTTTGTAGGTTCTATGAGAGCACCCGGTATCCCCAGTGCCTGGTACCAATAGGCACTGCTTAATTGTTGAATTAATAAATGGGACATGCATGGAAATAAGAAGACAGAGTTGGGCCCTGAGAAAGACCCAAAACTGGAAGAAAAGGTTCATTACGACTAGGAGAGTCAGAGAAGGCTCCACAGAGGTGGTAACGTACGAAGGATGAAGAGCATTTCTTCATGCAGGTAAGAATTAAAGGGCTTTCGGGGTATAAATGACAGCAAAATTATAGAACATGAAAATGTATGTACATGTGCAGATCAGGATGGAGTTTAACTATTGTAACAATGAAAGAAGATGATTTCCTGATCAAAGAAGAAAGTTTCTTGATCATGCTTTTTGGGCCCTCCTTGTCTCTTCAGGAAGGAATGGCTGACTGGCCCCAGGCTATCATTAAACCAAAACTGTGACTTCTTACTGCTCAGTAGCACCGATGGGTTAATTGGAGGGGTACCAGGCATGATGTGGGCATGAGATAGTTAGGATTATAATAAGCCATTTAAGCCAAAATTAATTCATTCTTTGGCTCAAATTTCCAGAATATCTTGCAGTGGCAATGACATAGGCACTCCAAACAAAAACTTCCATTTAAAACACACCAAATTAACCTTTAACTGGTCCGTAATCTTGAAGTCTAACCCCTACACAAGTAGATGTCACATTCAAGCAGTTACCATTTCCAAACTGCTTAGAGGTCCAAGGGTCAGAAGGGTTTGGGGAGGAGGGTGTGGGGCAGGTGGTGGGAGCTAAGGTTGGCCTCGGCACCTGCGAGGGGTACCACCATGGGCTTCATGCAGTGGCAGGGAAGTTTCCACTGGAAGTCCAGGCTTTCCAGCAGCAGCCAGAGTGTCAGTCCCAGGCACCACAGAACTGCTCCTGTGGACTGGTCTCTGCCACACCTGGACTACCTTCCTTTTTTAATGTTTTTTTTAATGGGCCATAAATGACTCTCTTGACAAGAGTCATTTAATATTTTTATTGATTTAGAGAGAGAGAGAGGAAGAAGAGGGAGAGAGAGAAACATCAATCAGCTGCCTCCTACACCACCACCTCCCCACCAGGGGCTGAGCCCGCAACATGGGCTTGTGCCCTGACCAGGAATCGAACTGGCAACCTTTCGGTGCATGGGACAACGCCCAAGCAATGAGCCACACCAGTCAGGGCTGGACTACCTTCTTAATAAGCTTGTTTTCAACCTTGGGAGGACAGAAAGGCTCTAGAAGACAAATGGGAACACTCCTGTGTGTGAGTCATGCTCTGTGCCTGTGCTCAAAGACCCAGGAGGAGGACCAAGCTGTCTCCTCGGGGCCGGGGCCAGCCTCTGGGGCCCACCTCACCTTTTGGAGAAGCTGGCCGCCCTTCAGAAAGCACAAGTCACAACTGCGGCTGTATTTTGTTGGGAAAGCTAGTGGCGTCCCCTATGAGCCCACACCACAGATCTGAGACATAGGGCATTTCCAGAACAGAACTTCAGCAAAGTCAGTTGGGGAAGTGGTCGGACCCCACTGGAAGGCAGACTGCAGGTTTTTTTTGTTATGACACTGCCCCATCTACTGGTGCCAGGCAGAAGTACCACTTGGTGAGATGGTTTCTCATAGAACCGGATAAGCCAGTGGTTGAATCAACACACAGCCAAGTCACAGCTGGAAAGCCGCCCGGCTTCTACTTTGACATCTGAGAGTCAGCCTTTTAGCTTTCAGGCTGGCTTTCTCCCACCTCATATCTTGCATAATGCTCTTCCCTTCGGCCCCCTTGCCTAACATCCTACTGAATGAACATTGGCTTCAGAGACAACAAATGATGAATCTGGAATCTTCAAAGTCATTCAACAAATATTTGTTGAGAGTCTATTGAGGGTGTGACATAGTTGCTGGGGATATTGCATTAAAGAAGACAGACAGGGATTTGCCCTAATGAGATTTATAGCCTATGGGGAGGCAGATAATAAGCAAACAAATAACTAATAAGACATCAGATAGCAATAAGTCTCTGAAGAAAAGAAAGCAGTGTTAGGAATGGAAGGTGGCTGGTTTAGACAGCATGGCCAGGAAAGACATCTCTGGGTAGAGACCTGAATGAGATGGAGCCAGCCATGCAAAGATGGGGGAGGGGATGATGACATTCCACCCTGCACTGGCCAGTATGATAGCCACGTGAGGGTAATGAGCACTTGGAATGCAGTTGGTCCAAACTGAGATGTGAAGCAAGTATGAAATACACACTGAATTTTGAAGAATTAGTAAGACAAAAAATGATGTAAAAATAGCTCAACAATTTCATAGTAATTGTATATTGAATAATATTTTGGCTGTGTCAAGTTAAAGAGAATATGTTCTTAAAATTAATTTTGTCTGTTTCCTTGTACCTCTTTAATGTGGGAACTAGAAGATTGACAACTATATATGGGCAGCATTGTGCTAGGCAAAGGGCATAGCTAATATGAAGGCCTCAAGGTGGGAATAAGGTTAGCCAGTTCAAAACTGAGCTCCAGCTTCAAAAACCCCACTGTGTAATCCCAGCCTTTTACGCTGCCAGCCCTCTTAATTCCTGACTCCTATCACATGAGTTCTTCAACCTCAAGACCTCCGAGATCTACATCAACATTCCACAGAGTGGACTCACCCCCACCAGCTGCATCAGAATTTGCTGGCCCAATTCCTGGATCACACCCATAAATCAAAATCTCTGCTTAAACTCCTCCGGTGACTGAACATATACTATAGTTTGGGGAGACCTACCCTAACCCACTTTATTTCTCCTAGTATCAGTTCCTTTCCTACCTCTTTCCTTCTGCTCCTCCCCATCCGAGACCTTCCAGATGAGCACCGGGTCCACAGTTTCTGTACATCATTTCCACCCAGCAGAGCCCCAACCCTGGACCAATACCACAGTCCATATGCTCTGCTTCTGGAGCTGGACTGCTGAGTAGAATCTCTAAGATAGTCTACCCTTGACACATTGTGACCTCTCCTATAGTAAACAGAATAATCCCCGCCCCCTCCAAAAAAAAAAAAAAAAAAAGATGTATCTGTCCTAATCCCCAGAACCAGATGTATCTGTCCTAATCCCCAGAACCTGTGAGTATGGGGGAAGGGAAAGGAAGATTGTAGATGAAGTTAAGGTTGCTAACTAGCTGACCTTAAAATAGTGAGAGGACCCCCAATTATCCAGATGGGCCAATGAAATTACCAGTCTCCTTCAAAGTGGAAGTGCGAACCTCCAAAACATCAAGTGAAATGAAAGAAGCCAGACACAAAGGTCATGTATTGTGGTAGGCTATCTGTGTGAACTATCCACAGTAGGTGAATCCATAATGACAGAACCAAGATTGGTGGTTGCCAGGGGCTGGAGGGAGGGAAGAATGGGGGAAAACTACTTAATGAATGTGGTTTTCCTTTCAGAGTGATGAAAATGTTTTGGAGCTAGATGTAGTAATTGCACAACATTGTGAATATACTAAATATCAATTAATTGTTCACTTGAAATGATTAATATTATTTATGCATCTCATCGTGATTTTTTTATTGAAAGGAGGCAGGAGAGTGTCAGAGTGATGCAATATGAGAAGGTCTCCACCCTTCCTTCCTTGAAGATGGAGGGAGGGGGCAACAAGCCAAAGAATGCAGGCAGCCTCTAGATGCTGGGAAAGGCGAGGACTGATTCTCCCCTAGAACTTCCAGAAAGGATACCCTATGACACCTTGATGCTAGCCCAGCAAGACCCATGTTGGACTCCTAACCTGCAGAATTGTAGCTCTGTGTTGATTTAAGCCAAGTTTATGTTAATTTGTTACAGCAGCCACTTTCCTCTTATCCTGACTCCATTTCCTCTTCCACTCCCCTCAGTGAGTGCCCTGAATCCTCACCACTTTTCCAAAGCTTCCCACTCCCCATCAGAGCCAAGCAAGGGGCTTGGTGCTTCCTTAAGAAAACTGAGGCAGTAGAGTAATGTTAACTGTGTGCCAACCCCCTCAACCACATCCTCACCCATTCTCACCTCTCTGCCCCAGGCTCAAAAGCCTCTCTTCCTTTATATCCATTCCCTCAAATCTACGCTTCAAACCACAGATTTGACAGTATGCCTCTTTCTATTATGACAATTCAGTGGCTTCCCACCAATCACAGGTTATGGGCTCAACTTCTCATTATAACACATGAGAATTGTCAGGTCTGGCACCTGCCTACCTCTCCAGCCTCATTCACACTTCTCCCGGCCTTGGGATTTCTGCTCCAGTGAGGAAAAATGGCCCGTGCTTCTGATCATGCTCATGAGACTGTTTCTTGTCTTCTGGCCATTCTTATGTGGTTCTGTCTAACTGGAATGACCTTCTTCTGCCACTTCTCCAGGCTGAACCCTACTCATCTTTAAAGAGCCACCTCAGGTGCCAACTTCTCCAGAAAAGTGCCTGGCCTCCCTAACTTCTTCTCCACCCTCTCCTATGGGTATCTATACTTCTGCTCTTGTCTCACTGATATTATCCTTAACTGCCTGCCTCCCTCACTAAACTGTGAGCTCCTTTAGGAAAGTGACGGTATGTAATTCACCCTTCTGCCCCAGCTACTAGCACCAATGCCTCCCTAGTTAGTATGCCATAAATGTTTGTGGAATGAACAGTAGCCATGTGTTTATTTTCACAGCAATCAGACTATCATAAACACAGATTGTCAGAACTGAAGAAGGCCTTCCAGACAGCCGATCTCTTCAAACATCCCCTCCCCACAGGTTTTACGGATGAGGGACATGTCAAAACAAGAGTAGGACCCATGTAGCCTGAATCTAAATTCAGGGCATTTTTCTTCAGCAAAACATAAAGCCAGAGGCTTTTAAACACATAAATATGAAGAACAAACATTCTACACTCTCTCACCTTCTATGAAGGGCTATGTTTTGGGGGCTTCTGAGTTCATTGGGTGGACTGGACCAGAACAGCCCTCCTCAACCAAACATCCTTCTCCCTGTGATCTGACTGAGCTGTCGCTCTCTGGGACCTTAATCAAAAGTCCCCTTGTTGCTGGCTCTCACTGCCACCGAAGAGTTAGAGCAAGCATGTCAAACTTGCAGGCCGCATGCAGCCCACAACGAATATTTTTGCGGCCCAGCCAATATAATGTGAAGAAACGTTTTAATAAATGTTTTGTAACTTAATTTTTACAATATCCCGTTATACATAATTATTAATAACGAACTACAACGTTCACTAATGACTGATTACTATAATCGTGTTGCATTCATTTCCCTCACACGCCTTATGTGCAGGCGCACCATTTCTCTCCCTAATACTAGCAGCGAATATTCTCGCAGCCGATTGCCACGTCATTAGTTTTGTACTGACTTGTTTGGTGAAGCTTTTGGTTTTTTGCAGCCCACATGAACTTAAACCTTGTTTATTTGGCCTGTGTTAGCCTTTGAGTTTGACATGCTTGGGTGAGTCTAGCATGGCTGTCATGGTCATGCTCAGACTTTGGTTCCCCCTAGTGGTCAAGATATGCTCAGGTTCATGAGAGTCTGGTGGCCCATTGGGTTCCTCTGCTCTGCCCAGTGACCCTTGACCTCTCTGGGGTTTGCACTTCAAAAACAGTAAGAGTTGTAGCAGTTCTCATTTTTCAGGAAATAGTATAAAGAAGTACCAATGAAATTACATGTGCATGGTAAATACTTGGAGATTTTCAAATTGAGAGTAGAGAGGATGTTATGTAACCTATGTTTTAGTTTGTCTTTTTTTTTTTTTTAATTCTCCTGGGCATGTGGGCCTGGCACATCATTTAGGCAGGCTATGAAAATGAGCTGTTTTCAATCACAAATATTTACTATACTGGCCTCTCCCCACTGGGCACTGGGGTTATGCATATGGTCTCACCCTTAAGGAGGTTATAATCCAACTTGGGGCCCAGTGCACAAATTCGTGCACCTTGAAAGGAACTGTGGGCCGTGAGGCTGTGGTACAGGGGTGGGTCTCAGCCCATCCTCCATGCCCCCACCTGGCTGCTTCTGCCACAGCACCCCCCGCCCCATCCCCTGTCTGCTGGCAGCCCTGCTCCCACCGCCCCTGCTCCCACACATTGACGGCGCTGGCCCCGCTCCCCACCGCTGACAGCACAGAGTGATTGGGGCCAGCGCCATCAGCAGATGCAAGCAGCGGCTGCTGCCCCGATCACCCCTCAGGAGCAGGGGGAGGTAGAGAAACCCTCAGGGACGATCGGGGCCAGCAGCTGCAGCTTGCACCCACTGATGGTGCTGAGTGATTGGGCACTGGCAGCAGGTGTGAGCAGCGGCTCCAGCACACAGGAGCAAAGAATTTTCAGTAACCACCAGAGGCTCACCCTGATGACAACAACCGGTGCCCCACCTTGGTCTGGTGCCCCCGCTCACCTGCTCCACCATCCCACCATTGCCAACGTCTGCCATGTTCTGCGCATGACCCCTGGTGGCCAGCGCACATTATAGTGACTGGTTGTTCGGTTGTTTGGTTGTTCTGCAATTCGGTCTATTTGCATATTAGCCTTTTATTATATAGGATACTCACTGATTCAGAATGGACTCAAGGAGGTATGTTGGGTATGCTGCAGGGGATGAAACATAGGTGCAAAAAAGTTTGATGTGTGATAATGAAGTCTGAGTTATCACAGGTCACTCTGGGGGTTTAAAGGGAAAATAACTTCTAGTCAAACAGTGAAGAGATGAGGTTCTCATCAAGGAGGGAATGGGCTTCATGCATCATTGAGGGAGGAGCAGGTTGCTATGAACAGCGACAGAAGCAAGAAGACCAGCGGGAGAAAACAGCTCACAAAGGCAATGGCTAGTGCTGAACGTTTATGGTTATGGCAAAAGCAGGGAACTCAAGCATGCTGAGCACCTACTACGTGTCTGACACTGTGCTAAGTGCTTTGGACACAGCTGGATGTTTCATCCTCATAAGAGTCTTGTGAGGTCCATGATATTCTCTTCATTTTACAGAGGCAACAGACTGAGTTTGGGAGAGTTACAAAACTTGCCCAAGATCTCCAAAACCTAAGTTCTTTGTGTTGGACTCAGGTTGGGGCCTGACTCCCAAGGGCCTTGAATAGCAGGCGGAGGTGTCTCTTGAACTGTGATTAGTCACTGTAGGCATCTGAGCAGGGATGTGCCATGATCAGAACTAGAGCCCAGACACCCACATCCCAGCCTGACTCACTGAGAGTCTGAAAGCAAGATGCTGCCCCTCTCTGGGCCCTCACCTTCCGGTTTGTGGGCTGAGCAATTCCCTTTCAGTTCTAAGATCGTAGGAGGCTGTTTTGGTTTCCTAACAAATTACCATAAACAGGGTGGCTTAAAACAACAGAATTATTTTCTCTCACAATTCTGGAAGCTGGAAGAAAGAAGCATACTTCCTTGTCTCTTAGCTTCTGGTGGTTGCCTGCAATCCTTGACTTATAGGTGTATCACTCTAATCTCTGCCTCCATCCTCACATGGTGTTCCCCTCGTGCCTTCTTTGCATGTGTCCAAAATTGTATCTTCTTATAAGGATACCTATCATTGCATTTTGGCCCACTGCAATTCCGTCTGACCTCACCTTTACTTGGTTACATCGGCAAAGACTCAATTTCCAAATAAAGTTTCATCCGTGGGTACCTGAGGTTAGGACTGAAACCTATCTTTTTGAGAGACATGATACAACTCAAAACAGAGGCCATGACAAAAAACTGCATGAGTGAGAGAGGAACAATAGACAAGTCAAATGTCTACAAACTCCAGAGGTTACCATGTGGTACACGCCTTCAGAGATTTTCTCACTAGGACCCTTGCTTGCCATGAAGCCATGCGGTCCCTCCTTTCATGGGCTGCTTACTAGGAATGTTTACCACCTAAATAAGGCCCGGGCAGAAATGCAAAGGCATGAGTAGGAAGTCAAGAGTAGTGAAATCATGAGCTTTGCAAGTGAGCCTTTCTCATCAGTGCCACCAGAAGCAATGGCCAGTAAAGAAGGACCAGAGTGGCATGTCCCCTCTGAAGGTGGAAGGAGGAGAAATCACTGTCCCTGCAT